TGAAAGGAAAAACTGGTTTGACTTAGGAGCGTTTTGAGTAAGGCTATGTTTGGAAAGTCCTCATCAGCTTATTCTTCATGTTATTCAGCAGAAGAAGCAGAATGTATAGTCAGAACAAGTAAAACCAAACACTTATTCGGCAACCAAGCATTTTTTCTTTCTTGCCAAACGGACCCTAAGTTTGGTAGTGGTGATTTGCCTCAAGCATGGATTACAAGTAGACTGCAGGGGCACAAGGTTCTATATGATAAAACCATAGGTTTTTTGTCTTTCTAAATTTTTGTTTCCAATTATATTTGGTGTGGCATCATCATTGTATATGTGCTAACTCTATTAATTTATTCAGTTTGAGAATATGTAAATCCTATCTTTAGTTTAGCAGTTTAGGTTGGTTCATAACTTACATTGTTCTAGAGGAGACTCATTCCCTTAAATGCATTGCACAATCTAATAACAATATGTGATTTTTATAACTATAACATGCAATATAATGTATTCATATTAGAAGTTTAGAACTAAGATTTGTAACTAAAGTCAAATACGGAGTAATTAGGTGCATGAATTGTCAAAATTAATGACTTCTTGCATGACATAAGTGAAGAGCTTCTTGAATTGATTGTAGCATGAATCTGCCCCGGATGTGAGTTTTCTTCGCACATAAAATAGATCGTAATATAGGGTGTAAGTGCGAGTGTCGTCTCCAAAGGGACGAAAAAAGGGAATTAAGTATTAATTAAATTCAGCGATTAAAAAGAAATAAAATAAATGCAGTGCTGCGAGATTTGATTGTTTGGAAAATTAAAATGCAAGCAAACGATTAAAAAGCTTGGTTCTTTCTAATTAAAGATGAAGGGAACATGGATTGATTTCGGAGTAACCAGATTTCTGGCTTATTAGGCATAATCACATGAACATTATTTAATTAAGCAACACTAATCAATACTAAGTTCTAACTACACTCGCGGCGTAGAGTACAATAAATTAGGGTACCAGGCTGATATCTTATGCGACAGGTATCTAAAAATATTGTCAAAACGAACGAGCGTACCGCGTACAATCCCTTAATCGTTACTAATCTCTTAGTGAATGATTAAGTGTGTGCGAAGCTGTTCTAGAATAAGTTAGATCTCTCTTAATTTATTCTTCATGCAATTATAATCCCAGCGGCCGTTCTAGGTTACAAGAGATATCAATTAAATCATTCAAACACAAATTAAACAACATTGATGCAATTAATCCATCATGAATTTAGTCATACATCATAATTAACCCCATCATCAATCCCAAATCTCTAATTAAAACTACTCACAATTCATAATTGAAGAATCATCAGAATTGGGATGAAAAGAATTATTTGTCTTTAATTAAAAAGTAGGAACTTACAAATGATCCCACGATCTTGAAGAACATAGCGTAAAACAACTTAAAAATTCATCCCTAGGTCTCTCTCTAAATTTTTGTAACCAAAAATAGGGGTTTACAGGGTGTTTAAATAAAAAACAGATCAATCCGGGCCAAAATAGGACACTGGGGCGGAAAACGTCGGGCATGGCGTGCCTCCCTTGCACGCACGGTGTGCCCGACCGGCAGTAGCTCCAGCGTTGTTTCCTTCAGCGGGCACGCCGAGCCCGACTGCGGGCGCACGGCGTGCGCCCTTCCCTTCCGATTTTGACTATTCTTCATTCACCAAAGTTGTAACTAATGAAATCTTCTATTCATCACAACTTGTAAAACTAGATTTGGATCATCTAATCAAAAGATATGAATAAAATGGTGGAAGGTCGCATCCTGAAATCTCGATAACGATTATCTGACCTCCTCGTCTGTTTTCACCTTGCTCCTCTCAGAATCTAGTCATGGTGTTTTCATATGATTTGTAGCTCTTGAAGTTATCTTTCATATGGAACTTGAATAGCATACTTTGGATGTTTATACAAAAAATATGCTTGAACGATTGACAAAACGTCATCCTGATCACCGTTTTTAAGCTTTATTCGTCTTCTTTTGATCTCGTAGCCAATTCTAGAACTCTTTTGTCTTCAAAACTTCGTCTTTAACCCCTCATTGATCTCCAATGCTCCTAATTAACTCTCAAATGCGTCTCAACTCTCTCGATTACTTCTCAAACGTCGGTGTCGGGCTTAATTCCCTAATTTTGACTCAAAAAATACCAAACACGAACCAACGCCCGATAAAATATGGCTTGAGCTAAAATGAGACTGATGACACTTTTATGCTTGGAAAACCATCAAAATCCGATCTTAGCACGCATCAAATGTGTGTCGAAATACGGACTTATCACTCCCTAGAGAGTTGATCAATGCATAATGTTAAGAAACCACATTGACGTTATATATAGAACAAGCGAATTTATAATCTAAGTCTCTTTTTAATGTTTTTCCCTTTGCATACTCAAAGTCGTGTTTTTATTAGAAAAAACGAACTACTTTAAAAAAAATTAGAAAAAACGAATTTATAATCAACTCTTTTTAATGTAGTTTTCCTTTTGTAAACTCAAAGCTAAGTGGTGTTGAATCGAGCCAATTTTGTAGCTTTTATTTGTAGCTTATGAGCTTTATTTTTATATTTTAATTTACGAATACGAAAACTTTTGATTACGGACTTAATTGTGTACGGATCAAAATAAGTATGGTTGAAAGCAATTTTAATACTAAGTACTCCTATATTCCATTTTTGTTGTCTTACTTTGTTTTTTGGATTTTGCCAAAATAAATGTTTTATTTTTTTGACAAGAAATATGTGATTTTTATCATTTCACTTTATTTCACTCAAATATCAATTACAACTTTTATTTTTTAATCGCTTTATTAATACTCGTTCCAAATTAAAACATGACAACAAATTCAATATGAGATGGAGGTAGTAAGTAACTACTCTTATTGTAAACATCATTAAATTTGTAATACCAATGCTTATTAAATTCAATCAAGACCATGAGACCTGAAAACATTGACTTTTTAATTAGCCTTTGTTTTTGTAACTGCATTTTATCAAAGAAAACTTTAATTAAGAACTTGAAAAACATTGACTTTTCAATTCCAAATTCTATACTACCTAATTTTTAGTGACCATACGTTTTCGGGAAACTATTAAAAGATAAAGACATGTTATTATTTTTCAAAAATATTTTTTTGTGTTAATTATCTTGTAATTCAAATTTCAGCAGTTTCCTGTTTACACAAATATCCACGTAGAAATTTAGATCTAGAGAGCTCCTTTTTTTAATCGTCAACTAGCCTTCTTTCATAACAAATTTGACACCAACTGAACTCCAACAACTACGAGTCTACGACCGTAAACCCTATGATCATACTTTGAGGCGGTCACCCCTGAAAGAGCAACATGAATTGTTAACCATGCAACGGGCTTGACACAGTCATCCCTGTTCTCATAGATCTAAACATACTCAATGACATAAAAAAAGTTGAATTCCCAAACAAACTGACAAACCAAACAACATAGAGTCATAGACAGTAACAACAAACCAAAAGACAAAAATAATACTCCCTCCGTCCCAATATAAAAGACACACTTTCCTTTTCGGTCCGTCCCAATATAAAAGGCACATTTCCCTTTTTGGCAAACAAAACAGTGCAAAACAGTGCCAAACAGTGCCAAACAGTGTCCAAACAGTGTCAAACAGTGTCTAAACAGTGTCAAACAGTGTTCAAACAGTGTTCACCCTTAAAAACTCCCCAAACGCAAATGTGCCTTTTATATTGGGACGGAGGGAGTAATAACTAAAAGAAAAACTTTCACGGTGGTTCAGGAGGAGGTCGTACCATTGGTACCACTCCTCTAATTGATCCTCCATTGTCAATCATCATCTGGCCTGCTCGAAATCCGTGCAACTCTCCCCGTCTCGTGCTCGTAGCAAATAATCCACCGCTAGCGGTCATCTTCATTGCTGTCATGCCCTTGCTACCCTGCTTTGCTGCTTTGCGGCACCCCTAACAGAAACCTCGTGGCCGAAGGGAATCGATAACCTTGGCTCTCGACGAGAGAAAGCACCCTGCCGCCGGCCTTACCGCTCAAGTCCTGCTCTCCTCGACTCTAGAATGATCTTAATTACTAAGCTAGAGCTGCCGCACGCCTACAGCGGCGTATATCCTCACCCTACGCAAGTCGCTAGGGAAAACCTAAAAAACTCTCCTAGAGAGAGATAGACCGCTGGTTTTTGGGCACGTGGTGAGAACTTTAGAATCCAAATAATTTATTTAGATCTAGAGAGTTGATCAATATAATGCTTAATTCTTGGTGTTAAGAAATCATATTGATGTGTCATAAACGGACTTATAATCAAGTCTCTTTGTCATGCAAAAAATAAGGATTTTTTTGCATGAACTAAAATTTGTTGATTTGGGTTGGTATTTGCATGTCTTGTCTGAACTGATCTATTTAATTTTGGTTTAGTCTGGTTTAGGAGTGAAAACAATTAAAGTAAAAACATCCTAAGTAAGGTTGAGATTAACTAAATTAACTAAAGTTTACTGTAAAAGACCATTTTAGATCATTTTGATATATTTTTTCTTTATGTTATTAATTAATTGAATATAGTTTAAATACTCTGTACAAATTTTCAATGATTCAGGCTGAATCATTCAGCAAATTTAGCGAACCCAACTATTTCGGTCAAAATATGAATAGATGTAGCGAATTCAGTCACTATCAGTGATATCAAACATGCTGTGATCTTGATCGCAAGACCCAAACTTTTGAAGATTGATGCTTTAGAACATCAGTTGATAATTGATATAAAAACCAAAATAAAAATACAACTAATTACTTCTTTTGTTCCAAAAAAATTACAGAGTACTACTTCGTATTTTGCAGTCATTCAATGCATTTTATAATTCTATTATTGTATATAAACGATCAAGTCTCAGAGACAACCGAAACTCTCACTACTGTTAGTGCACGTCAAAGATATCTAATTCCAAATCTTTCATAAACATCTTCCGGTGCTAGATTGTTATTTAAATTTCAAAACAACTTTCAATAATGACTTCATATACTATAACTATGAATAAAAGTTAAACATAGTAGTTATTCCGTTTTGGTTTGTTATTCAGGAAATAAAAATACAATTTCCAGGACATATCCAAGTACAAACAAATTGACAATCCAAATCCTAACATCTATGAATCTTCCTCCGTATCCAAGAATGACATGAGAAACTTCCTCACACCAAAGAACCATCTTTCTCACACCTCCAAGAATGACACGCTTGTAATGCTTTCTATTATTAGATTATAGATCATCATAGCACAACCAAGAATAGTTTTGAATATCCTTGAGAAAAATGTGATGCGTTTTTAAGAGATTTTAGTTAAAGATGGTATGTCTCTTATTTGTATTGTTGAAAGTAATAGAAATATTTTTTTTTCACATTAGCTTGGTCCTTTTATTCCCAACCGGAAGTCCGTTTTTAATCATGAATAGGAAGTGACTTGAGATTTTAATTTCAAACAAAAACGGACAACGATCGGTGCAACGTATGAGTAATTCACTAGTTAAGACAGATTCTGAAATATAAGTGTCACAATACCTATTAGTAAGCCCTATTATAAGAAATTCTCTCAAAAAAATCTGCACAATACTGCATGAGCCTCAAACAAATTGCTTTGAAAGATTAATTAAATTGATTGGGTTGAATTGTCATTTGTCCAACGATCGAATTCCTCCTTATCGTGTTGCATTTCTTCTTCAGTTCACAAAATGAAAAACAATAAGAAAATTCAATTGAGATACCAGAAATGCCTTTGAGATTTGGATGGATTCAGCATGATTAATTCTTATGCTCCGTACTATTCTGCAATACTCCGTAGTTCATTTGATTCCCAGTTACTCTGTATGTGTTTTTTACCTCATGTTTTGTTTTGTCTTTTGATGAAATGGAACGCATGCCATTTGTCTTATCCAATTGTCATATCTTCATCAAGCAGTACATAAAGTGAAATTACATGAAAAGGCTGCACTTGAGTAAGAGAGTGTTGGGAGTCACTCATAAGTTCATGTTTACACTTGAGTTGTGGAGATATCCAATACTACTCCGTATTTGCTAGCCTTCTCTTAACTTAATCCCTGATTCCATATTTCCATGTAACCCAAGTACAGTCTGCAGTTCACACTTCACACATGCAAGGAATTTAATAAGTCTGGCCGGTTTATTTCATTAAAATTGTGCTAATCCACCACCCTCCACGGTGAAAAGATCAAATTTTATGTACGGAATATAAAGATCAAATCTTGAAAATAACTACAAAGTTAAAAGCGCAGATATCTTAAACAATTAATTTGAATGTCTTCCCGATTGGAGTTTTAACTGAAATTTGGTATTAGTAAACTAGACTTAATGAATACGGAGTAAGGTGTTCAAAAAATTTCATCAAAAAATCCACCGGGAACCGTCCCAAATGGCGACGGCCAGACACAGCCTCCTATATAAGGACTTATTTGACATTTTTGGGTAAGTTCGAGGACCTATCTGAATTTGAATTGACCTTTATAGCAAAATAAAGTGTGTAACATTACTTCTGCTCCGGTCAACTTTGCTAACTTAAAATTAAGAGAGAAATAAGAAAAACGAAAGTTGAGTGCTTGAAATTTGTGCAGAAGAAAGCGAAATAAATGTAGCCAAAAATTAGTTACTTAAACACAAAAGTGACAAATATTATGAAACACCCACAAAAAGAAAATTGACAAAGTTGAATGAATTGTAAATGTACAGTCTGAGAGGCCCAACAATAGTCTTATGAGACAGACATCTCGTACCTTCCCTGAGCAACTCAAATGATATTGGGCTGCCTTGTGAAAAATCCGCTAGGAGGAGACAAATTTTAATTTTCTAGTCTAAACTCTGGCCCCAAGGAATAAACAGTTATTGTAGAGTATTTGAATTGATATTTAAAATGGTATTTTATCCAGTTGATTTTTTAATGGTCATTTTTAACGTATCTAGTATCTCATCTAAAATTAGGAATAAAACATTTTCATGTAACTTTATTAATTAGCACTACGTACTGCGTACATCATAATGATCATGTTCCTTTAATATATTTCAACTTACTAATCATATCATTTTATCAGGTTGAATTAATATAGTGATTTATGAGTATTGTATTATACTTTTTTTAATTACAAAGTAATTATTACTCTGTAAATTAAACATTGTAGATCGAATCATGATTCATGAACCACATTACTCTAATTCAGAATCATTTCTAAAATTTTCTATGTAGTGTCTAATGTCTTGAGTCCGTTTGAGAACAATAAAATCTAACACTTTAGGGTGCATTCGGTAACGTTTCTGTTTTTCGGTTTCTGTTTGTTTCTTAGAAAAAAAAGCAGAAACACGTTTGATAAAAAGTTGTTTTTGTTTCCAAAATCATAATCTTTGTAAGTTTTTTAGAAAACGAAAACATAATTATGAAATCCACAAAACATATTTTCTATAAATTTGTTATCATTTATCTTCAATACCCAACTACCGGGACACCACCGGGACACAACCGGGCACCACCGGACCACCACCGGCCACCACCGGACCACCACCGGCCACCACCGGCCACCACCGGACCACCACCGGACCACTTCCGAGACCATCATCGGACTATCATGGACTACGAAAATAATTATTTGTTTCTTGGAATGACAAAACTGAAAATGAATTGACACTAAAACAAAATGATTTCAAAAAACTGAGAATAAAAAACTAAAAACAATTTTTTGTTTTTTAAAAACCAAAAATAGAAAACTCAAAACTATACCGAACGAGCCCTTAATTTACAGAATTGCTAGCATCTAAAAATATGAATTTTAAGTTCAAAGAAGAATAAATGGCAATTTAATTAACCACGTCCGTAACATAGAGATATATACAACGCGCTGGTACGATTCTCTATAGGTGCAATGTATTGAACAAGTGTACGAGTAGTCTTTTTCATTATATATATTTGGGCTCATACGAGTAGTCTTTTTCATTATATATATTTGGGCTCAATCTGTACTCACATTTGTTATCCAAAAAGTTAATCCCCAACCTAAGGGTTCTTCAAGTGTAAACCCGACAAAGCATGTAGGAGATTATAGATCACGATATCCATTGTAATAATGCTAGATCTTATATTATGTGCATTGAGGTTCAATCCAACACACAAGAACTATGACCTTCCACGATCATTACGAGTTTCGATCTTCCATCAATGTCCAAATTTTCTCACCATTTTACTATTTGAGCTATCATATATACATTTTACCCTCTTACCACTACAAAAAAATTCGGTTGTAGTCACGGATTTAGTAACGGACCCTACTTTAAAAAATCTGTGACTAACTCCTTTAGTCACGGATTTTGTCCGTGACTAAATCTGTGACTGTTTGGGCGTGACTAAATTTAGTCATGCCAAATAGTCCGTGACTAAATGTAGTCACAAAAACGATGTTTTTTGTAGTGTACGTACATTTGTGAGAAGTCTTGGATTTTTGGATGGCTAAAGGGTCAAATAGGTACATGAACTAACTTAAAGTGTTCAATTAGCCCCTTATATAGGAGGTTCTGTTCGGCCGTCGCCAATTGGGGCGGTTCCCGGTGGAATTTTTTGATGAAATTTTTTGAGCATCTTCTTCATTAAGTCTAGTTTACCCATACCAAATTTCAGCTAAAAATTCAACCGGGAAGGCAGTCAAATGATTTTTTGAAGATAACTGCGCAGTTAAACAGCGCAGTACATTTCGGAAAATCATTTGACTGCCTTCCCGATTTAATTTTTAGCTGAAATTTGATATGAGTAAACTAGACTTAATGAAGAAGATTCTCAAAAAATTTCATCAAAATATTCCACCAGGAACCGCCCCAATTGGCGACGGCCGGGCAGAACCTTCTATATAAGGGGTTAATTGAATACTTTAAGTTAGTTCATGTACCTATTTGACCATTTAGCCTTTTTGGATTACTGTTTCTTTTCGCATAGGACCCTCTTAACATACACTTATCAGGAATCTAGTGAAACCGTCAATAACATTTTCTAGCTAGGTCTGGATGCGGAGCTTAAAAAGTTAGATAAAATCTATTTTTACATAAAATTTGTAAACATTTCGCACATACAATGTATATATCCTTTAATTTAGTTGCACATAAGAATTGTTGAAAAAATACGTAGGGTACTTCAAGAATTGTTGAAAAAAAAAACGTAGCGGCAAGTTTAATATTTCAAGCTCTACTTTATCATTTATTTATATTTTTACATTTGCACTGTAAATTCCACATCTGTATGTCACTCATTTGTTGAATTTAGTAAGTATCGATCTCCAAAACATTGTAAATTTATTTCTAGCATTCACATTAATAAGGAACTCCCAAATACTTGTAAATAAACACCATGATCATAGAAAATACAGCAAAAGGCTAAAGGGTCAAATAGGTACATGAACTAACTTAAAGTGTTCAATTAGCCCCTTATATAGGAGGTTCTGCCCGGCCGTCGCCAATTGGAACATTTCCCGGTAGAATTTTTTGATGAATTTTTTTGAGCATCTTCTTCATTAAGTCTAGTTTATCCATACCAAATTTCAGCTAAAAATTCAACCGAGAAGACAGTCAAATGATTTTTTGAAAATAAATGTGCAGGTAAACAACGCAGTACATTTTGGAAAATCATTTGACTACCTTCCCGATTTAATTTTTAGCTGAAATTTGATATGAGTAAACTAGACTTAATGAAGAAGATGTTTAAAAATTTTCATCAAAAAATTCCACCAGGAACCACCCCAATTGGTGACGGCCGGGCAGAATCTCTTATATAAGGGGCTAATTGAACACTTTATGTTAGTTCATGTACCTATTTGACCCTTTAGCCTATAGCAAAATGATAATAACAGTTTTTTGTAACAAACAGCTTCCTTAAATAGAAACGATTTAATTTCTACCTGTGAAGAAACAACATTTAAAATCACTGCTAACAATAAAACTCTTTATATGGCTGTACAAATAGATAGACTACAATAAATTCCCACGTAACAACCTCATTAAAAAATTGTCGTTATTTCTAGGACACTGACCCTATTTTTAAGCTAATTAATATTCGCCCAAAAGCGTTGAAATGTTAATTGTTGTAATTAAAAACAGAATTCCAAACTATAGAAAGCAATTCTTTAATTATTTCATTAATAAATTTAATTAATCCTGCTGATTAATGAATTATTAGGGGTTGTAGAGGTGGTCACCGCAACTGCATTTCCAACCCAGTGGCTTATAATTGGAGTACCTGGGCAAGTCAAAGTAGTCAACGGGCATGACCCGGGCAACGCCGCCTGGTTGACCGCCGCCGTGACTCGGTAGCGTGGGGACCTGCACCGCCATGCACGGGTGGCAGTGGTCACACTTGTTGTGGCAGCTCGGTGGCGTGGAACCCAGCCTTGATTTCTCCTCGGCCAGCAAATTTAAATCCTAACCCAATTTAATAAAAACCCAATAAATAAATAAATAAATACTCTAAGATATTTAATTAAGAAATAAATAAATACTCTCAGAATTGAAATGTATATACCCGATTGGAGGAGGGCAGGGAATGGTTTATAGTTAGGCAGTGGGAAGGGGAAAGAAGATGAGGAAGAGGAGCAATAAATAGGGAAAATAAAAAGAAAGCAAAAGGGGGAAATAAAGAAGCAGCCATGGTTGCATTTTATTTAGCTTTATTTATTTTATGCGACGAATGAAATTCATCACTGAACACAAAGCCGGAAGCTAAGCGATGGTAGGTAGCTATGATATATAGCAGCAGCTAGCAGTATACTAAGCCAAGTAGGTACGCAGAAATATAATGGAAAGTAAAGAACAAGAAACAACAAGAGAAATGCTAGAGGTACACGTTTTATGTACACGTTTGGTGTATACTTGTCTGTCCTTCACAGACAAATTGTCTGTCACAGACAAATATTTTGTCTGTGACAGACAATTTGTCTGTGAAGGACAGACAAGTATACACCAAACGTGTACATAAAACGTGTACCTCTAGCATTTTTCAAACAACAATAATGAGAAAACTATTAGTCCGTACTACGTATTAAAATGCATACATGTATTTGCAATAATGTACACCCTCATCCCATTTTGGTTGTCCTATTTTTTCTTTTTTGATTGTCTCAAAATGAATGTCTTGTTTCCTTTTTTGGCAAAAAATATGTGGTCTTTATCTTTTTACTTTATTCTACTCAAATATCAACCACAACTTTTACTTTTCAACCACTTTATGGACAGAGGGTAGTATCATTATTCCGTGTATTGTCAAATTGAAAGTGAACAACCATTACGGCACGAAGGTAGTATCATCAGGGGCGGATCTACCTTAGATTCAGGGAGGGCCTAGGCCCATGCTCAAAAAAAATTATAGTATATATATTAGGTAGTAATATATATAGTGTTGTGCAAAAATGGGTATAATAACCAACAAAGTCGATTGCTACACAAAATGCAGGACGGCGAGTTGGATTTAGTACCAATGTGTGCAGCGCTGCTACTTGGGAGACTTGAGTTTGAGTCTCACTGAGAGAAAACTTTCTTTTTTTTGGATGAAATGAGAGAAAACTTTCTTATTTTTGCAATGGAGAGCTTGTGTTTTAAAATTTCAGTTTTTTTCCCTTAAATCTTGTTATCCCACACCGGAAGAAGAGAAGGATTCTTCTTTCATACGAAGTATATATCTATTCAAACTGGATCTCTGTACCAATGTGTGCAGCGCTGCTACTTGGGAGACCTGAGTTCGAGTCTCACTGAGAGAAAACTTTCTTATTTTTGCAATGGAGAGCTTGTGTTTTAAAATTTCAGTTTCCCCCCCCCCCCTTAAATCTTGTTATCCCACACCGGAAGAAGAGAAGGATTCTTCCTTCATACGAAGTATATATCTATTCAAACTGGATCTCCAAAAATCAATTACTAGAAACTTAAAATCATTGAATGGGCTTGACACTAATATTGGGTATGCTTTGGACTTTTGTATATTAGCCTAAAAAATTAATTTGTTCAATTTGTTTGGCTTGAAAAGTAAATATTAGTTCAATGTTTATGGGCTTGAGGTGTTTTATGTATTTGATTTTGACAAAAAATCTTATTCTGATAATATTTGTTTTGTCTTTTACATTTATGTAGTGATATTGCACATGAAAATAAATTTTGTTAAATACATACTCTCCTGACATTAGTAGGGAGTACTACATTTTGACATTTTTTATAATACATGTTTTTAAAATAATTTTGGCCCCACCTGAACGCGAATCCTAGATCCGCCCCTGAGTATCCTTATTCCGTGTATTGTCAGTTTTCCTTATTTTAATTTGACACAATTCCTAATAAGTTATTAAAAGTTAAAGTTGTGATTAATTTAACGTGTGCTAATTTACATGTGCAATGTTTTTTGATAATTGTACATACGTGATTAATTGAGCTATTTTTAATTGAATTTGTAAAGCTAATAAATTAAAGTATTCGTTGGACGAATCATTCAGTCAGAAATATTAGGAAAATTTTCCTGCCGATACAAAATAATAAATGAGAAACTATCATTCATAGAACTAAGTAAAAGTATAATACAAGTTTCTAACTAATAAGGTAAATTTTAAATAATTAAAACTATGTTTTCACAAGAGAGATTTGCCTAAATAGGACTGAAACTTATACAAAAAAAAATCATCGTAGGACTATCACTTATTCGTGTAATAGCATATGACTAAAATATAGATGAAATACCAAAACTGCCCTACGAAGCCACTCATCTTCCGTTCGCGACTTGTGAAGCGTGCGTTGAAGGATGTCTCTGCAAAGTTGGTCTTTGCAACTTTCCTAGGTAATAGTGGTAATAGTCTTCTTCTTCTTCTTCTTCTTCTTCTTCTTCTTCTTCTTCTTCTTCTTCTTCTTCTTCTTCTTCTTCTTCTTCTTCTTCTTCTTCTTCTTCTTCTTCTTCTTCTTCTTCTTCTTCTTCTTCTTCTTCTTCTTCTTCTTCTTCTTCTTCTTCTTCTTCTTCTTCTTCTTCTTCTTCTTCTTCTTCTTCTTCTTCTTCTTCTTCTTCTTCTTCTTCTTCTTCTTCTTCTTCTTCTTCTTCTTCTTCTTCTTCTTCTTCTTCTTCTTCTTCTTCTTCTTCTTCTTCTTCTTCTTCTTCTTCTTCTTCTTCTTCTTCTTCTTCTTCTTCTTCTTCTTCTTCTTCTTCTTCTTCTTCTTCTTCTTCTTCTCTTCTTCTTCTTCTTCTTCTTCTTCTTCTTCTTCTTCTTCTTCTTCTTCTTCTTCTTCTTCTTCTTCTTCTTCTTCTTCTTCTTCTTCTTCTTCTTCTTCTTCTTCTTCTGCTTCTTCTTCTGCTTCTTCTTCTGCTTCTTCTTCTGCTTCTTCTTCTGCTTCTTCTGCTGCTTCTTCTGCTGCTTCCTTCTGCTGCTTCTTCTTTCTTCTGCTCTTCTTCTGCTGCTTCTTCTGCTGCTTCTCCTGCTTGCTTCTCCTGCTTCTTCTCCTGCTTCTTCTCCTGCTTCTTCTCCTGCTTCTTCTCCTGCTTCTTCTCCTGCTTCTTCTCCTTCTTCTTCTCCTTCTTCTTTCTTTCTTCTTTCTTCTTTCTTCTCTCCTCCTTCTTCTCCTCCTTCTTCTCCCTCCTTCTTCTCCTCCTTCTTCTCCTCCTTCTTCTCCTCCTTCTTCTCCTCCTTCTTCTCCTCCTTCTTCTCCTCCTCTTCCTCCTCCTCTTCCTCCTCCTCTTCCTCCTCCTCTTCCTCCTCCTCTTCCTCCTCCTCTTCCTCCTCCTCTTCCTCTTCCTCTTCCTCTTCCTCTTCCTCTTCCTCTTCCTCTTCCTCTTCCTCTTCTTCTTCTTCTTCTTCTTCTTCTTCTTCTCCTCCTCCTCCTCCTCCTCCTCCTCCTCCTCCTCTCTCCTCCTCCTCCCCCTCCCCCTCCCCCTCCCCCTCCCCCCCCTCCCTTCTTCTGCTGCTTCTCCCCCCCCCCTCCTCCTCCTTCCCCCCCTCCTCCTTCTTTCAAGTCATTTACAACATTAGCAAAATTTAATGCAAAAAACATTAGCAAAATTTATAATGCGTATGTAAAAGTAGTTTATAAAAATATTGATGTTCTTAAAAGTCATTTATATAGTTATTAACTGATTATAAACAACCATTCAACCAAACACCATTTTACAAACTGCTAATATTATCAACTGATCAAAATAGCCAACATAATCCCGTCGTTATCTATCGACCAACACCATCAGCCAACAATCAACATCCAACAACCATTTGCCAAACACCCCCAATAACGGATTCAATCAGCGGGGTTTGACTAGCGGAATAATTTGGCGGGTTGTCAGAATATGTTTGGTAATTTAGCTGTTTGGCCATAAAATTAAAAGAAAACATCATTTTTCAAAATGCTAACCCAAAACTCTCTTATTTGTTGCGTTTCCATTTCTGCGGTTCTGTCCAAAAACGCTAGTGCTCAGTCACTATTTACCAAACAACGTTTTCACTTATCGAAAAAGCCAAGAGTGGTCAAACCGCCATTTGTTTTGACTGAAACGCCATTTACCAAACACCTTCAAAAACTAATAATAGGAGCGAATGACTCCTATATTGGGAATAAAACATATTTAAGTCCTAATTTGGGTTTTCATCTATGTTTTAGTCCTATTTAGGACAATTACTTTTCAAAAGATGATACATCTAAAAACAAAAGTATAATCCGGTATACCTATTCAGTTTGATCAAATCAAGAATAATTCAATCCGGTCCGGGTTTGACTCAGTGTTCCACTCCTAATTACCCATTTTATTCTCGCCAACTCATACTTTCCTCAAGAGCAGACAATGCCGAAGAGTAGATAGATAAATTGAATAGTAGTGAGTGTACAAATGAATGCTCGGATTTCAATTCCAAACAATAGTAGTTTCATGGAGGAGTTACATGTTCAAAACTATCCCAATTCAAATAATGAAGTATTGAACAAATACTATAAGAGAGATTAGAAAGTCTAACAAAAAACAATAGTATATTACATTGATTCTAATTTATCCATTCTCTCCAAAATAATACTAAGACAAAAAAGGTAAAAAAATCTTAAACACTCTCCATTTTATTATTATTATTATAGTGAAGACGGACTTAGGATGTTTTCTTTTGGACTGTTTTAAGTCCCAGACCAGACCAGACCAGACCAGACTTAAACAGACTAGACCAGACCAGACCAGACTTAAACAGACCAGACCAGAACAGACCAGACTTAAACAGACCAGACCAGACCAGACCAGACTTCCGTAGTTATAAAATACACAGAGACCAGACGTTTACCAGACCAGACCAGACCAGTTCAGACCAGACCAGACCAGACCAGACTTAAACAGACCAGACCAGACCAGACTTAAACAGACCAGACCAGCAAATTTCAGTCCAAAAGAAAACATCCTTACATGTGAGATCAATAACAAAATTCTAGATTGAGTTAAGGGAATAATACAATAAAAATTGTAAAAAAAAATGGAACTTTTATAATGGGGTAAAATGCATAAATAGTACCTAAATTATCAGCATCATATCATTTTGGTTCTCGAACTAATAAATGTATCATTTTAGTCCTTAATCTATTTAATTCATGTTAATTAAGTGTTTCTGTCAATGTTTTGATGTTAAACTAACGGAATGTGCTAAGTTAGTGTCATGTATGTGTAAGGATGTTTTGTTGGGGCTGTTTTCAGTCTCAGACTAGACTAGACCAGACCAGACTTGACTTCCGTAGTTATAAAATACACAAAGACCAGACGTTTACCAGACCAGACCATCAAAT